AAAATTAATTTCACTTTTTTTTTCTTTTTTTAATGTGGCTACCAGAAAAATTTAAATTACATATGCAGCCTGCACTGTATTTCTGTTGAAGAGGGTTGGTCTAGAGTATAAACAGTGATATGATTTACAGAAAGAAGAGAGAAAAGAAGAGAATGAAGCAAAGAAGAGAAGAGACTATTATTAGTCACATATAGGGGGCTACAGTAAGTCTTGACCACCACTTCCCCACAACTTGGAAATATAAGAAATAAAGCTGTCCTTTAGAAGTTGGGGTGGGGGATAGATAATCATATAATTGGTTCAAAGCTCAAATATGCAGCATAACCTTAAAAACCTAGAATGGTTTCAGTCTAAGAGAGTGGGACCAGAACCTGCTGGAATGTATTTATTTATATAGCTTAGAAAAAAATGCACCAGTCACAAGGGGTATTGGTAAGCAATGGAGTACAGAAAAAAGGATCTCATCAAAGGGGACCATGGGCAGTATCTATCAAAGCACTGCCAAGGGAGTAGACATCTGTCCAGGTTCTCTTAGTCTGACACTATTAAGCAGAAAATCCTAGAGACTAGGGTGATCACCGAATTTACTGGTCAAACCAAGCCACTTTAATAATACCCAAAAGGGGTGTTATTAATTAATCATTGTGCTGGGACAATAAACCAGGACTGTCCCAAATAAATCTGGGCATATCGTCACCCTACCTCAAGTAATTCATTCTAATTTATTGCTCTCTTTACAGCCTCCTCATTATATGTGCCTGATGTTAACACATACATTTTTAAATATACTGACATTATTAATAATTGGGATGCTTCTTACAATTGATATGGGCATTAATGTCAGGCTTTCCCCCAAAATCCTATTATTAATTTAATAGTACATCTTATGGTCAATGACATCATACAGTCAACGATATGGTAGTTTGGCTACCCATGTGGTATAACATGAAGGAAAAATTTATTTATCGGAGAATAGGAATGACCTCCCCCCAGGCATTTATTTCAATTGAAAAATAAATAAACTGTTTTTAAGCATTGGTTACTTGCGAGCTAGGTTAGTTTGAATTGGTAACCTAAAACTGGATTCTGAGTTTATAATGCCCAAGTTCAGATCAAGCACTGGGGTGAACTTACTAAGGTCATTCTTGACCCATGGAGACCTGTTTGGCAAGTCCCCCAGCGTTACTCAGGGGACAACCCTTGCTACCACCATGGGTACCATCATAACCCTTCCCTGTTGGAAACTGATAGAGTTAGTAAGACAAGGAATCTGGTATAGGTCTGTTGGGTTCAAAAGGCCAATAAGAAGACATTAAACTGGAAGTGGGTCTAGAACTTGAATGAGTTATGTATGGGTCACAAATGCGCGAAAGAAGAAATGATTTTGCTGTGTCCAATATAGCTGCAGTTCAGATAAACTACCATAGGTAGAAAATAGTCATTTAATTATGCAATTAACTGAGAAGTTTCAGAAGTTTAAACAGGTTCACCCTATGTGCCAAATTGGATAGACTAATGGTGGCTTAGTGTTTACAGCCTCTTAGGAATACAGAAGTTTGGGGAAAAGCACTGTCTTTGATTAATCATGTCGGATATTGACTCAGAAGGCGAGGGGGGACATGGAATTAAAACACATTTATATTGGAAGTATTATAAAATGTTATTAAAGATGTTTTCCTTCAACAAAATACAATAGTAAGATCATATGTAAAATGAGAAAAACATTTGAAATCAACTTACTTATTTTGTCCAACTGTCTCAAAATCTTTCACAACAATTCTGAGGGAAGATGAAGAGTCCAGTGGTATACCCCTCAAGTCAAATTCCAAAATCTGTCCACAGAAAAGTTATGGAAACAAAAAGGCTGTTAAAAGGATCAGGGGATATAATAAGATGGACCAACACTAAATGTTGGGCCATTATCTTCACCAATGACAATCGTTTGAATTATTCAATTCTATGGTTAGGTGGAAGTGACTAAATTCTAAATTCAGTTCTAAATCTGGATGCTGCTGAGGGTTGTGGGAAAACAAACTAGACTTGGCCCCAGAGGACCAGGAAGCAACTCCTGGCTTCCCATTTGCTAGGCTCTGTGGCTTTGAACAAGTCACCAAATCCGTATCTCACAGCCAGAGAGCTGACTGAATGCTTACCATAGCTGTTTCAAGAATAAAATAAAATGTATGCATGAAAATGATTTCTTCAATGGTTATGTTTAAATTACTTGCTCCCCCTAAACATTATCATCAAAGAGATGAATAACCTAAGAAAACATTTTGTATAATGTATTAGGCCCTTATTTGAAGTCCCACTGATGTCAGGGCTGTAGTCAGATGAGGCTTTCATCTTAATGCAACAAATTGCTGTCTAATAACAAACAAAAAAATCAACAGAGCACCACTGATGCCTGTGATTGATTATGTAATAAATGAATTAAAACAGTGTCTGCTGATGATTTCATTCTCCTTGTAATAGGTTTGGAGTGGAAGGAGAATATGTCTCATAACTCATATTAGAACACACCCAGTAATTCCAATGGGTTTGGGGTTGGCATTTCATTTGGTTTAAGTTTCAGTTATAAAACTGTAACTGGAAAGTTTACATGGTAAATACATTGGCAGTATGAAGGAAAAAATGTGTTGGAAACAAAATGGGGTGAGATGGATAATACCCTGAGGAGGACACGCCTGCTCACGTGATCATACCACCTGTCTGCCATCGGCCACGTGGATTGACCTCAAATATAAAGTGGCATGCTAGGATTACTCAAAACCTAAAGCACTAAATGCACACATATATGTACTTCTATTTGTTTTATTCTTGGAGCTCTATGTGATGGCTTTTCAGAAAGGCATTAAGAAGATTTTTATCCTCACCTCATTCAATGAGAAGGTACAGTCTTTATCTCATAGAGATATTGAAACTATTGGGAGGGGAAGTCTTCACCGCCTCCAGATTTAGTGAAAATATCAAAGACATTTATCACTGCACTTATCCAGGGAGGCGTGACCAGCTTTTGGAAAAAACAATGGGGCCGATGATCAAGTTTTCAAAAATTAGTCAGCATAGGAAAATCCTACTCAGTGGAAAGAATTTAAATTTTCACATATCTATAAATATTAAACACTGGGGGGGAGGGAGGTAAATGAACTATATCCCTTCAATACAATATTACACGGTCATTTAAAATGATTTTGAATAGAATGATATGGGTATATACTAAGGATATAATAGTAAAAAAATAGAAAGAAAACCGTACTTGCTATATGATACTAATATGCTAATTTTAAGACATCATATTTTCTTAAATATATTTACTTAATAAGCATTTATTGATACATCCCAGATATTAACAGTAGTTGCTTCTGGATGGTAGAACCAAAAGTAATTTTTATGCTGATCTGAAGTTTTTGATATTTCTATGTTAAATATGTATTATTTTATCAACCTAAAAACAGTAAATGTCTTGACACAGCCAGACACACAAAATATCATGTGATACACTCATAATTAGTTACATGAAAGTATGTCTTTAGTTATTGAGCTTTTCCTCTGGGACTCTAGAAATGATCTAATTCCACTCCTTGCTCTACAAGATGTGCCCACACATGCAATATAACCAGACCAAGGTCACACAGCAAGCTCAAGGCTGTTCCTGGCTAGAACCCAACCCTCCTCACTCCTGTCCAGGCTCCACTTACCACACCTCTACTGTACAGGAGATGTTGCTGTGTTGTGTCTCCTTGAGCTGCTCTGCTGTCTCCATGGCCACAAGGGGAGACAGAGGGGGTGGGGGTAAAATACATAGGTTCTCCTCCCAAAAGGAAGAGTTAGCCTCTGACCAAAGATAAGATAACCTAGCTTATCCATTGAAACCAAGTTGAAAAAAACAATGAAGTTACCTCATCCCAGACAGGGTTGAGTTCATTATCAACTCTCTTTGTTTTCTTTTTCTCATCTGCAAATAAAAATTAAGGGAGAAGAGCAATCAATTAGAAATATTTATAGAACATGTACCATTCATTTGTTCATTCGAAGAGAATTTCCCTGAGGGCCAACGATGTGCCTGCATTTTCCCATTCCCATAGGATGGAGGCTACCTGAATCCCATTTTCCAAACTGAACAGCATTTTTTGGCCTCAAATGTTTTTTACCATCACCGGGTCTAAAGGAGTGAAGGGATGGGGAACTCAGAATCATGGAAATGCCATGACGCTCTGCTTCTCCCTCACCAACTCCTGCAGACCAAGGTTACCCAGGGCCTCTGCATCTCTAGCTTGTTGCAGAAAGAAGCCAACGAAGTTAACCTTTGACACGCAGGTGTCCCCATTTCATAGATGAGGACACTGAGGCTCAAAGGAGTTAAGAAATGTGTCTGAGCTCAGATGCGGTGGCGGGGTCCTGATAAAACCTGGTGTTTCAGCTCTGAAGCCCATGCCGCCTCTGCGTGTGATAAGACCACATCACAGCTTAAGATTGAGCTGGACTCCCTCCCCCAGGCCTCAGCAGAAGGTAATTTATTTGTATATACACGCTTTCTAGAACCCACAGGGAATTGAGGGTTTCCTTTCCTCCTAGCCCACCTTTTCTGAAGATACAAGGTCTTTTTCCTGTGTGTCGGAGACTAGATAGTACACCCACCTAGATGAGTAAATCTAACATTGTAGAAGAAATACTGATAAAAATATTTTTCCATTTTGAACAAATATGTAAACTAAACCTTTATATAGAGAAAAATGCTTGTACTAAGTCACTAATATTCAGCTCTGGATAAAAATTTGTGGAAATAAATACTTAGGAATTTTTTTTAAAAAGTTAATCCTGCTGGTGTTTAAGTTTCCTTTGAGTCAAGTCCAAAGAGCAGGGGCTTCTGTTAGGTCCCTAGGTCTCCAAATCCTCACCAAAATAAAAGTTAGTGATAGAGTACACAGTATTTTGTAAGCATCAGCTCATCTGTTTTCAGGGGAATAAAAAGAAAAGAAAATGTTTTCTCCTGTGTGTCTCCATTACTATCACACAGAACACTCACAACACCTCTGACACAAAAAGTTTTGGGGAGGGGGTTCCCCACCAAGCAATTTTCTGCAATACCAGATGGGTGTTCTATAATTTAACTTAATTCTGACACTATTTACCTGGAGACACCATGAAATCTCACAGGTTAAGGGGTCAGTCCCACAAGACTGCCCTCCCCCCGCCTTCCCCACACACACCAATCTCACTTCAGACACCAGTATAAGCAAGATCAGGTTCTCACCAGTGCTCTTGAGAGACCAGTTATAAATCTGAGGTTCCTGTGAGCCCCTGTCGGGTTCAGTTAATTTGCTAGAGTGGCTCACAGAACTCAAGGAAACGCTTACTTACGCTTAGCAGTTTATTAAAGGCTATGATAAAGGATACAGATGACAGCCAGAAAGGCTACATGAGCATAGGAGCTTCTGTCCCCGTGGAGTTGGGGTGCCTCACCCTCCTGGTACATGGATGTGTTCCTCCACCCAAAAGCTCTCTTAACTCATACTTTTGGAGTTTTTATGCAGGTTTTATCATGTAGGTATGATCAATTATTAACTCCATTTCCAGCCCCTCTCTCCAATCTAGAGAAATGGGGGGTGGGGCTGAAAATTCCAAGTTTCTAATTACAGCTTGGTCTTTCTGGGGACCAGCCCCCATCCAGGAGCCCACCCAGAGTCACCTCATTAGAACAAAAGATGGCCCTCGTGCTCTTAGCATTTAGGAATTTATAAGGGTTTTAGGAGCTCTGTGCCAAGAATGGTGTTGGGTCAGGGAGAACAACATGTATGTTTTCTGTTTCTCACATCATCTAATCTCCCTAAAAATCCTAGGAGGTATGTATAATTCTTTTCATCCCCCTTTCACAGCTAAGGAAACTGAGAGCTTGAGTAACATATTCAAAGTCACCCAGTTAGTACGCGGCAAGGGCTGGGATTGGAACCATTCCTTGTCTTCCCCTCTCCTGCTGTGGGAGGTAGGAAGGAGCTGGTGTGTTTTGTTCAGCTGAATGTCACATTGCTAAGGCTCTCCACACACGGCCAGCAGTGGGACTAACTACTTCATTCTTCCAAGACCTCAGCATAGCAAAACCATGCGTCATCCCCCTCACTCTGCTAAGCATTAACTTTTCCACTTGAGTGGGCTCCCATAGCCCCACTGGCTTCCCTTTCAAGCTGCAGCATGACCCTCCTCATCGGCGCCTAGATGAGCTATGCTAGTTAGCTCTGTGGCTTTTTTATGTGGCTCACACAGCCCCTCACTGGTCAGATTCTAATGTCACCTAGAAGCTGCCCTGATTTCCCCTCTCGCGCTTCCGGATTGAGCCCATTCACTCCTCCTCTCCTCTGACAGAGATCTCTCAATCTTCCTCTCTGGTTACAACACAAGAAAGTGTCCTTGAGAGAAAGAGGAGTCATACAGAGGGTTTATAAACTGACAGTACTGAATAAATGGCTTCTATCCACAATTGTACAGCTCCCTATAAATAGCCATCTACAGGTACCAGGCTGTGCATTCTACTGCAGTGTCTCCAAATCTTGACGACAACCCTGTTAGGTAAACATTCTCATCCACATTTTACAGACAAGGAATTGAGAGAATCTGGTTAACTTGTCTAAGGTCACATAGTTAATAAGGAAACAGAGCCAGAATCCGAACTTACATCTCCTTGGCCCCAAAACTGAGTATGTGTTTGCCTCCACACCACAGTGCCTCATTGGAAGCTGCCAGAAACACTGGATAAAGAAAATGCATAGGTATAATATGTGTGATGGGCTTGGCACCGTGGGCAATGGCCACAGGAAAGTCCAAGGTGAGGTTTCAGGGCATCCTGAGACTCTCTAAGACTATTTGCTCCAACACAAAAAATATTACATCTATGAGGTTTTTGGAGGAGAGGGTTTATTACTCTCATCATATTATCAAATGAGTTAGTAACCTTGACAAAGGTTAGGAATCTCTGCCTCTGACAGGCATGAAATTGTACCATTAATATTCCTCCAGCTCACCACCAGCCTTGCTGCTATAACCAGGGCTGGGTGGGTGGAGAATTGAGTCAGGAGGGAGTGAACCTGGATCCTGAGACTGTGGCAGGCCTTTAAAAGAAAAGATGGGCAATTGCAAGAGGTCCCAGCAAGTAAGTAAAGCAAGAAGGCAGCAAATAATTTTCAGAAATTAGGCACAGGGGCTTAGGGGAGGACTTGGGTCACTGAAGAATGGAATTGAAACAAAATTTTAGTCTTCAACTCCCCGATTCCAGGCAGGGAGCTAAGGCAGGGACTAGGGCACCAGAGAAGTGGTGGAAAAAGCCAGTACTTGCTCACTTGAACTGAATCCTAAACCTAGTGACTGACCTGCAAATCAGAGTAGGAGAAGAAAGCCTACAAGGCTATCTTGATGCCAAGGCTAGTAGTACTTACCTTCCCACCCCCACTAGGGATGGAATTATTCCAGAGTCAGCAGTGGAAGAGGGTGAGAAAGATCACTTGCTTATTCGTTCATTTTCAAACATTTATTAAACACCTAGTGTGTGCTAGTAACTGGGGAAACAGAAGACTGTAAGATAATCCCAGGTCTTAAAATGTTCCACAAATGGAGTATATGGGCTATACAATGCAGGAAGCAAACAAATCTTTATGTATGTTTTCACCAAGTAGCAAAAAGCCCCCACCATGCTCTTGCCAGCTTCATTCTCATGTTGGAAATTCCTCCTGTAAAAGGATGATTAAAGGGAATAAGAGAGTTCTTCCATAAACCTAATCAACATCCTCATTCTTCCACCCAACAAATACCTTCGAAATATCAGTTGCCAGGCACTGAGTTGGACACTGTGGGAGATATAAAGATACTCAAAACATGGTTTGTGCCCTCACATGGTTCAGTGGAGCGGTAGATGTGTCCAGGTGACTAATATAAAAACAGGGCTTCAGTTGCTGTCAGGGGAGTAACAGATGAAAATACAAGTTCAGAAGAAGGGGAAGTGACTTCACACTGTGGGCATCAGGTAAGGCCTCTGAGGAAGCAGAGGCTGAACTGGAGATCAAAGGATCCAAGGACAAGGATGGATCAAAATGTGGAGCTGGGAAGAAAAGGCTACTCCAGGTGGGAGCAAAGGGGTGGGTGGGTCAGCCATGGAGGAGGAGAGAACAAGTCAGGTCATGTCTGGGGACACTGCACAGCTCAACTGGCTGGAACCAAGGGATGTGGAAGGGACTAAAGGCAACCAGGCTGTGTGGGAAAGTTATGGTCACACTGTGAAGCCATGAATGCCAGGCTAAGCTTCATTTGGTTGATACAAGCCACTTAGGAAGAAGTTGAAAACTGGACTTTAGAACTTCAAGTTCACAATCCAATGAGAAAAACCAAGTTGCCCAACAACTCTTCCAATATATGTTCCTCAACACATGATTCAGTTGTGTGTCTAGAACAAAGGAGCCCAGCTGAGTCCTAGCAGATGCAGGTTGACCACGTATCAGTGGGACTATTCATGTGGAACTTCCTGTCACTCCTGGCACTTGCACACAATGTTGATGCTAATGACAATACCCTCTAGGGGGCGCTCACCCCCAGCCAGGCATGCACTAAATCCTTCACTACATCATTTCATTTAAACTTCCTAACAAGCCCAAGAGGTAAGCACTGTTATTGTCCCCAGTTTGCAGATGCGTAAAGTGAGCCCGGAATGGTTCGGTAAATTTTCCAATGTCACAGAGTTAGTAAGATTTAAAGAGAAAACCCCAGGCCCAAAATGACGTCATTCCTGCTAAAGGCCTTCAACACCAAACCTATATTTACTACCTGTTCTAATTGCAGTTCAATCTCTCTCAAAACATAATCTTAACCACTCAGTTTGGAATTTTCTGGTCACTAACTAGTAAGGTAATCTGTCACGTGGGCCCTCTCCACCCTCCCAACCCCGCCCCCTTCCTAGGAAAAAGGCAATCTTCA